TGAGCAGTAACTAAAAACATCGGTGTTATCAGCACCGTTCCCAGGCCGAAAGTCAAAAACACAGCACTGTACCAGCTACCAAGGAGGAGAAAAAAATGGCTGCTACTGCTGAAGCCAGGACAAACTTAAACAGGGGAAGTTTAGATTGGATATAAGGAGGAAGTTCTTTACTGTTAGGGTGGTGAGGCACTGGAATGGGTTGCCCAGGGAAGTTGTGAATGCTCCATCCCTGGCTGTGTTCAAGGCCAGGTTGGACAGAGCCTTGGGTGACATGGTTTAGTGTGAGGTGCTCCTGCCCATGGCAGGGAGGTTGGAACTTGATGATCCTAAGGTCCTTTCCAACCCTAACTATTCTATGATTCTAAGGGCTAGCTGCTCAACTATCCAATTTGAAGCTCCCTTTAACACATATCCATGTGTTAGGACTTGCAAGGAACTGAGTATCTCCTACTGTGTATCTTTTTGGCACTGTTAAATGTTTCTTTATTTTATCCTTAAATTAAGGGCACAGGTATACTCCAGTTGCTTGTAATGCCTTCAGTTCTTATCACAGTATATGTCTTTACATGTCACATTTTGATATTACTTGGTTTGCGTGTATTCCTTCAGGTAATTTTGCAGAAGGCAATGCTAGTAATTAGGTTGTAGACACCCTCCTTAGCAGTCTAATCTCCAGCTGCATTTCAGTTGTGTATTCAGATTCCACATTAGACTCCCCACTTTCTAGCATTTCTAGCATTGCTTTAGCTTATGTAAGTCTCTTCTGGAAAATGAATGGTGCAATTTGAACATGATTATGTCAAAGTTATTAGTGTGTAGGCAAAGTGAAAAAGGAATGTTATTGGCTTTTTTATTTGTGGTAAAAAAAAAAGGAAAAAGAAACAGCTAATAAGAATGGTCAGACTTTAGGTTTAAAATGACCAGTAGGGTATGTGTTTAAACAATTCATAATTCCATTTGACGTTTTCTGCTATATCTTGGAGACCAAAACCATAGATAGCATGAGAAAAGAGAATTCTCTAGTTGAACTAGCTGAGGAAATGCTTTTTTTTTTTAATGTCCGGCAATTTGTAGAATAGCAGGATTGATCATCTTCTCACCTATCAGCAAAGAACAGACATAAATAAATGTAAATATATGCAGTATGTAGCAAATGAGGATCTACCCTTGCTGTGATGATTTTCTTAAATGTGTTTTAAATGATGATAAATAGTTCTGATAAAGTGAACCTTGTCTTATAGGGAAAAATACATATCAGAATATGTAAAAAGTAGGGAGGTAGCCAGATGTTCTCATATGGTAAATTAAAAATTATGTAAATTGCTTCCTTTGCTTAAAGCTATTACAAAACACATTCTTTGGAGACACTGCAGTTCTTACTGCTGTTTAATTGAAACTAGCAGTTAGTAAGTGTCTTCTAGGCTTGTACTCTGGGTTGACTTCAGTTTGAGTGGGATGTTTGAGGTGCATAAGGCAGTAATAGATTGGGATGGGGGATAATTTAAGGGGTAACTTTTGCTGTTTACACAGAAGTGGAGAGGGACTTTTTGCAAGAGCATGTAGTGGCAGGACAAGGGGCAATGGTTTAAAACTAATAAAGGATAGCTTAAATTAGGTATTGTGAAGAAATTCTTTACTATGAGGATGGTGAGGCACTGGAACAAGTTACCCAGAGAAGTTGTGGATGCCCCATCCCTAGAAGTGTTTATGACCAGGTTGGACAGGGTTTACAGCAACTTGGTCTAGTGGAAGGTGTCTGCCCATGGCAGGGGTTTGGACCTAGATAAGCTTTATGGTCCCTTCCAACCCAAACTGTTCTATGATTCTGTGAAGCAGAAGCTTTGCATAGGGTATCTGTAGGACTGATGCAGGCAGTTGGCAACATAATACAGTGAAATAAATGGCTGTTTAAGAGAATTAAGCCTTATTCCAAATACTTGTCTGTAAAACAATATGTACTGAATACGCTAAGTTCCCTCATTACTGAATGCACTAAGTTTCTTCATTTAAGAGCTTCAAATGGGATGTTGCTTTTTTTCATGTGTGTTGTGTATTAAATGACTTGAGTTGAAGTGCGGGACAGAGTACTAAAGTATTAAGCCTTTGTTTGTGTAGGTATTCACGTGTGTGTTTTCTTTTGGTGTTTCCATCCATCAGTGAGCTCTGTGATTTTTGTGACGATCTCTGCTGTGTTTGAATCACATGCTTAGAAGACTAAAATGGAGGTAGAAGTGATGTCCTTGGGTCTGATGGCTTATGAATAGCAAATGCCTTCTGTATCTCCTTTTTGGCTGAAAAATCCTAAAAAATAGGTGGGAAGGGATCTCAGGAGAGTGGATTCGATTTTGCTGGCTTCAACGTTAAAAACTGTGCCAGAGCTATTCGTAAGAGATGTTTGTCTGACCTGAAAACCGGCACTGGTGGAGATTTCCTGTCTATCCCAAGCAGTTAGTTTTAGTGCTTTACTATATGTAGTGTTTTTTCTTCACCTCCTTTACTGCAACTCAGGTTTGTTACTGGGAACCCAAGTTCTGAGGAGAGGTGAAAAGCACTTGTATTATGTATTTCTTTGTAGCTTCCTGGTATGTAATAGTACTGGAAGTTACTTCCTTCAGTCTTTATCTCCACTAGATGAAGGAACCCTGCTTATTGTCACGTTTTTTACATTCTACTTGCTAGACTTCTGATTGCTTATATTACTTCTGCTTGACCCAGATCTCTTTTGAGCTGTGACACTGAAAGCTGGACTGAAATGAGCCTTATTTGCATGGCTCTCTGCAGCTGGCACTGAGGAGCCTTGATCTCTCCACTCACTGAAGACATCAGCCAGGTCAAACTTTCCAGGAAAGGAGACTCAGCGCCATGTGCTGCAGTGTTCAGCTCAGTGGTGCTGGAATCTCTTGAGACATAACCCCTAACTGCAGTGCTGAAAGGATAAAAAAAATCATTCAGTGCTGAGAGGTAACAAGTGGATATGGCTAGCAGTAGCACTTACAAAATGCCAGTGGAACAAATTATTTAGAAACATCTGTTAGTAGAAACTAATTGAATACTGTGTAGATTGGAATGTATAAAGCAGGACATAGCCAAGAATTAATGAGAGAGAGAATGAATTGGCAGGTGGATCCCCTCATCTGTTTTCCTTCCCAAAATAGCCTGTTTCTAGGGCCAGGATGGGTAGAATAGAATGATGAAACAACTGGACACACAAACACAGTATAAGCGTAATTATGTTGGAGAACAGTGAAAACGTTGTTAAATGGCTGTAGAGAGTTGTCTGCTCTCTCAACTCCTGCTTAACACACAAAGCTCGTTGGTGGATAGTTTGAGTGAAAGGAGGTGTTTTTATGGGTTTTGGCATTCAGTAGTCATTGGTCACAATCCAACACTTTTCTGTTTTAAACAGTGGTATTTTTGATGGCTGTCTTTGAAATTCTATGCAAATTACAAATGCTGTTATGTCCTTCTGGTTAAAATATGGGCTAGGGAGCTTCATCTGGTCCCAAATCTGAGTTTCTTTGTTGTGGTAGGGATCAGACAACTGTGGTCCCTGAAAAATGCACTACAGGTGTAGTTCAACCTCACAGCTGAAAACATGTTTCTCCTTTGCAGGAAGAGAGCATACATATGTACATATGGCTGCTGGGGCAAGGCCTGGACCTTGCAGTAACTTGCGTGGTGATAATTTTGACTAGAGCCTTCTGGCAGTATTTTGCACCCTAATAATAACAACAGGAGTTTAACTACCCTGGAACAGTCTGCTGCCCCAGGGAGAAGATCTAGTCTAATGAGTACGTTCTTCTGTTTTTATTCCAGCCCATCAGCACAGAAGCAGAAAGGAGATCAGTATGAACTATAGATTATTGTAAAAATGGATCATTTCACTAAACTAGCAAATGTAGACAACCCCCATTCTTAAAACCCCTTTGAGGATAAAGAAAATAAGCTGTAAAAAGCATGCACAGATGGATGTTATTCTGATAGTAACATGCTATATTGAGATGTTAAAGGAAGGAATGCTAATTGTGCAAAATTGTAGGCAGTGAGGTCATGGGGAAAGTACTGAACTGTAAAGGTTTTCCATTTGCAGGATAGTTCAACTCTCTCTGATTTGACTAATGTATCATCAAAGGTGTTCTGGCCAGGACCAGCCAGGCTTCTTATCTGTCATGGATGTGATTTTTGCTAATATACTGGCACTGTACAGCATGTATGTTCCAGAAATAATAATTTGTAATTGAAACTGTGTTCCTTTGATTTCTACACAGGGAAAGAAAACAAAGAAATGTCTTACATAGAGAAATATTTACTCTAAGAAACTTATAGTTAGGGTAGAGTCAAAGTAATCTCTTAAGGACCACTGTTTCTTTTATTGACAGTTAAAAGTAAATCTTTTTGTTGGGTGATAAAATAAGTATAGTTCAGGACAGCCTGGAATGATATAATTGTTTAAATGCTATAATTATTTGTGCATTTTCTGCTGAAATATATTGCTCATCATATGTGATTCTTCAGTTCTTGACCTAATAACAATGCGGTTTGTTAAAAGGTCAGACTTTAAGTGGGTAACTGCCATCTAAGTGTGTTTTAAAACTGGGACAGCTAAGAGTAGGAGCTTTCTTAGAATTGAATTCAGAGCTGTTTCTCTAGGAGAAAAGCACAGATTATAACTTTGAACCAATTCTTTGAAGCCTTACCAAATTACAACTCTGTGAAAGTGCTGAGAATCCTGCAGTTTTGTCCTTGTCGTAGAAGAAAGTAGCTTAGCATCCTGCTTGTCTGATGTTTTCCATTGTAGTCTTAGCAATTCATCCTTGAGCAAAACACTGATATATTTTATCAAAAGGAGAAGAACTGTCTGTGAGGTGGATTTTACTTTTTGTTGATCGACCTTTATTTCTGCTTCAGGTAAAATGGAACCTTTTTTTGTCACTGATGAGTAAATTTTTGTGTGTGTGTGGTTTTTTTTTTGTGATTTTTGTTTGTTTGTTAATTTCTAGCTGATAAATTTAGACGGAAACTGGAAGAGCTGGAGAAAGAGAAAAATTCTTTAAAATTTCAGCTTCCTTCAAGGCATCCTTCAGTTAGCAGTTTTTTGGACCGGTTTGTTACCCAAGTTCAAGCAGCGCTGCGCTGGGCTGCTGATCATCGGTAAGTTTGTTGATTCCCTATTATGTAGAATGGTGCTTCTGTTTTTCTCTAAGCACAGAATGCAATTCATGAATAATTCTAATAAAGAGTTTTAAGGACATTCTAACGTATCAATATGGAGCTTTTTTATGAAAATCCCCTCCCACCTTCCCCTTTTTTTTTTCTTTCTACAATTCTTTTAGAACTGCCCTGAGAAACATTGATCATGTCAAACTGGTGAATTAAATGGAACTTTTCTCACTGTTATTGAGTGGGAATGGGATTGAATCCTTGACACTTGGCAACTTGAGCATACAGCAGCAAGGCATCTTGAGCAATGCTTCCCTGTGGAGTTAATTCTGATGCTCCTTTACAAGCAATGAGAGGATGTTTAAATACAAAGTAAAAAACATTCTATTTTTTTTTTCCATATGAATAGATCTTTGGGAGCTTCCTTTTATGCATCAGTTGTTAGGTGGCAGTAATGTGCTCAGCACTGTACAAAGTCACAAAATTGATTTCTCAACCTTCTGTTGAAGGGATAACAGCTTCAAAGATTACGGGAATGAAGATGTGTTGGATGACCCAAGGGAGGTAGTTAGCTTAGGAAGAAAGATTTCTCTATTTCTAGGTTGGTCTTCAGCTATGCTACCAGTTACTGTTATTAGAAGCAAGAGGATTCTTCATAGATATTGGGAGCTATTCTTAAATGCAATAGCACAAATGAAAGAAGAAAAATCTTTTGTTTTCTGGCAGCTTGTACATAGAAAGGCTTCAGTGTGCTAGTCAATACATAGTTTTTGATAGACATGAAAATTGGGTAAAACCAGCACAGATAATAGGATTTCATTGCTAAATTTGAGACTTTTAAGGGTATTTTTAGTCTCTATTTTATAGTATTTAAGAATAAGACAGGTTTAAAACAAACTGCATGCCCTCACAGTTTTTTGCTTCTGCCATCTGAGGCCCTAAGCAGCTGTTTTGCCATTCCTTAATGATTTAGGGTACAACATCTTGTATTTTGTCATTGACATGTATTTGCTTTATAATGATTTTGGCTTTAGAGGTGCTGTTGTCTTTATTGTCGCAGCGGTTAGGTTACTAAAGCATCCCTAAAGTACATAGTCTGCTTCTTTTTTCTTATATAATGTAGATATATTTTTTGTATAACAATATACAGAATAAATAATATATATGAAATATTTATGAAACTAGTGCTGTTCTTTGATTATATCTGTAACTCTTCTGTTTGCACAGGTCTGAGAGCAGTGCCATTCTTCAGGGTCAGATGAATATCCTCTTCATTTCTGTGTCCTCTGCATACTCCTTTTCTTTGAGCTTGCGTTTGTTGTGACACCCTTTCTTTTTCTTGCTTGATTCTTGTAGCTTTTCACACTGCTTTGCTTGTGCTCTGGCTCTCTTGTTGATGCAGCAGGCCTGCCCTTTGTCTTCAGTGCAGGGGTTTAAAATCTTTCTTTTCCAACAGTATTTTTAGATAGGACAAGATTGAAAATGTGGCCACTTCTTCATGAAAAACTTGTAGGCTTCAGTTTTTATTTTGATTCTGAATGTGAAAAAAACCAATATACCCAAGATTTCTTTTTTCACCGGAGAATTAGAAAGATGACAAGGCTAGCCCTATCTGACCAAATCATTGCAGTTTCACAATAGTCAAGCCAGTCTCATCTTTTTGCAAATAAACAACTTTTAAAATAAAAAGTGTGTATGGCAGGTTATTTGTTCAGTACATGAAACTGAAATTCATGCCCTGGTTTTGTTTTACTTGATTAAATTATGAGACTAGTTTTTAGGTGAGCTTATTTGGTGTTGACAGAGGATATTGGTGGCAGGTGGTAGGAGCCAGGTTTTGGTTATGTTTAGCTTAGGAACAATACCTAAGCGAAATCTGGGTTTGTGCAATCACCCAAGTTTGGTGAGATCCAAGAGGTCTTGTTTCTGTTCCCTCAGTCCCAAATAGGCAGATGTACATGGGATTTCCAAGGAGGTTGTGAGAATAACATATGTTTATTGTGGAATGTTTCTTAATTTGAACCAACTACTCGGAAATCTCTACTGCATACAGATCTTGGGAAGAGGCAGCTCTTGCTAAAAGAAAGTGGGTTCAGAGCTGCTGGCAAGTGTGGCTGGTTGGAGCCACAGCAACCTATAAAGATTGTAATGCATATATATAGTGATGAACTAGCACCTCACACTGCAGGTGTCCCTTTGAGCTGTTTTGTTATTACAAAATACAGTTGTGCTGTCATTATGTATGTTTTGTTTAAATATTAATGCCACTTATTTTAGTGCCAGGGGTTATTTTGCCTTTTCAGTACATTCTTCAGCACATAGAAAGGGAATAAAGCATGTGTGTCTTTTGATGGTCCTGCAGAAGAGACAGGAACCTTTTGTTAAACAGCTGTGCATGGGGATCATAAGTGTGTGCTTAAACTAGACTTGTGATGCGTATTTTGTGTGTGGCATGAATGCATTTGCTTTGCATGATTACAGTGGGAAATCATGCTTCAGAAACATTCTTTGAGACATAGGTGTTTTGGTTTGGTTTGTTGTTTTTTTTTTAAACAAGATCTTGAAATGCATTTATACCCTTTATGTGGTAATGCCCTTGCTTCTATAGAGATGGACACGGAAATACAATTGGCCTTACAAGCATGTATGCCCTTATGCAGGAACATGCACAATCAAAGGTTTGCATTGTTTGCAGGTGCATTTTGAGAGGCTGATTATAGACTTGACACTTAATGTAGTGCGCTGATTACCTTGGGGGTCCAATCATGCAAAGATTTACAGCTGAGGGTTGTACTGGCCACTGTGAGGAATCCCACTGACTGCAATTTTGAAAGAACTCGGTGTGCAGCAGAGAAGTAAAATTTGGCATCAAGAAGCAAACACTCCAGATGATCTCTAATGTAGTCTCTGAAAGCTGTCAGAAGCTGCAAAATTGGCTTTGGCAAGTTTCTAAACTTCTGTCTAAGAGAGATTTTTCTCTGTATTGATAGAAATTACACGCCTTAGTTTTCTCTCTTTCAAGGCAGTGATGGATAAATTTCTGAAATATGAAAAATCTGGGGGAAGCCTGAAGCTATACAAGTTTTCCTTTTTCCTTCTTCAGCGTGTTGTAAAAACAGTGTAAATGTTTGAGATAATAAGGGAAGATATGCCAAGGAAAAATCTCTTGTTCTCTAACTATATCCATTCAAGATATAATCATTCTGGTGATGGAGTGTTATGACTCTGAAGGTAACATGTAACATTCTGATCTAGTTAGTCTTTGAGATGTCAGTACTCGGCAATAATGCTAACTTTTAGCTTTTTTCATTTTTCCGAAGTGTTAGAAATGAAGAAACGCAAGTTTGGCAAGAAAACGAACATAGGCTTTTGAGGTCCACTTACCAGGAGAGGATGGAGGTTTCAGCTGCAAAACGAAACCAACTTTTTCAAGAAAAGAAGTGGTTACAGGTAACAGGACTGCAAAGTTCTCTAAGAACCAGTGCTGTGTGGGGAAAAGCTTGTAAGCTGTTGCACAGAATTCAGTACATTTATTGTAATAGTGACTTTGCGTCTGTGCAGCAATTAGAGCCTTGGCTGTACTCCAGTTGATATCTAAGTGATGATTGGAGATGGCAGCCACAGGAGCTGAGTTAATCTCATTATGGAGAAGCAGAATTGCAAGGCTCGGTGGCTTGTGTGCATGCTTTAACTTTCCTCATTATCTTTTGAAGTGTCCTCTCTATGTTCTAATTTGCCACTTTATTATTTCACTGATCTCCAGAAATTTTTATTCAAAGACAAAAAGTTTTCATCTGATTCTGGTTAGAATTGACTGTAAATACATAATTTACCAGCTTTTGTTCCTGAAAGATGGTTGATGTATTTCATAAGGATGAAGGAATCATCATGGAGCTGTTAACATTTGCCAGCAATAACTTTACACTGACATGTGATGTCACAATGCGGTAGTTTGGCAAATGGAATGCTTTTAAGATGGCTTCTGTCCAATTTTTAATCTGTAAGTCTTTTCTGCGAAATTTACCTCTTTTCACTGTCCTTCAAAAAAAATCCCAATTTACTGGCTAGTGCAAGTCTTTGCTCCACCTCCACTTGGCAATGTGACACTTTAGAGGGCTAGTAGGTCTTGTCTTAAAATCTCCTTATTTTTGTTACTATTTTTCCTTTGGTGGATCCGATAGTATACTCATCTGTTTATTTTTATACACACAAATATGTATATGAAAACCAGAAAGAACTAGAACAAAGTATCTACTGGTCATTGCAAAATCTAACTTAAATGAAAAAATGTCTTTTCTATCCTAGTCTTCACCTTTGTACTGCTTAATTTGTTTCATCAATATGTAAGAGTATAGTTCAACATCATCAATGTTCAGAAAGACATTTTTTTAATAATGTAGATGTCTAGCCAGCTACCTCAAGATATTCAACTGAAAACTACTGTAGTGAAGACTCCACGCCGGGTAATGTTTTTATACTTTTCCAGGTGAATATTCCTACGTAGTTACACTAGGAACAAATGAGTCACATTGTTGCACAGGCATGCTATTTATGAGCATTTGATCAAAATTACCACTAATCTGAGCTTCTGGAGAAGAAGGCTGACCTATGGCATTTGGTGACTTCCAAGCATCCCTTAAGGATTGCTCCTGCCCAAAATCTCCTGCGATCTGAAAACATCAGTGTTGTTTGTTTTCGGTTTGCTCCCCTCTCCCTTTCCTTTCCTTTTCCTTCTACTCTCTCTGTTGTTGGTTCTGCATTTTGTCTTCAGGGACTGGAAAGCATGCGACAGTATCTAAAATTTACATATTAATGTTTCTGCTGTAATCTGTGCTTCATGGAGAACACCAGCCCATAAGTGAATCTGTCTACAGCTACTACAATCAGTACTGATTAGCTGTCATGTTATAGAAACCTCAGTCTAAACTCAAATCCACAAAGTACAACCCCAGTTTATGTTTAGTGAGCCGAATATAATCTGCTGCTTCATGCTGAGGCTTTAAGTCCTTTTTATCTGTCCCTGGAGGCTGACCAAGAGCCCATTAAAAGCTTCTTGGCATTTCTGGAAAAGAAGGCAGAAGAATTTCAGTTTACTGACTAAATTTCCATTCTCCCAGGAATGCCTGTGAACTATTCCTGATCAGAACAGCTTTCTCTCTGTGAATGCGGATTGTATGCTTGTGCTATCTATTTATGTTGTAAAAACATTTTGTTACTAAAAGTGTGTTTGTAAAACCAAATTCTGTTTATCTCCCTTTCTGTTCCCATGTAGGTTGCTTATTGGAGTGATTGCAATTACTTCATTTTTACAGAGTATGAAGGTCTTTGTATAAAGTAGGGCCTATGAAGATTTTGGCAGTATTCCCAAATTGGTAACAGAGACAGAATTGTCCTTTGTGCACACTAAAAGCCTAATTTAAGACTGAAAGAAATAAAACTGATGTTTTTGGCCTGCTGACCTTTCTGTCCTTGACAAATGCCTGTAGATTGAAATATGGGCCACTCTGTTCTCTTGTCGCTAAACCTAAAACCGAAAAGGAGGAAAATAATTGATGAATTTAGTGTGCCAGTACTAATATAAGTTGAAATTTTGGAGCCAGTCAACCTTTTAAGATGCTAGGACTGTTTCTTGTCATTTTAAGTGATACTCAGGGAGCTTATTGCAGTGCAGCAAACCTGAAAGTATGTTTGTTGACAAAATGAGCATTAGACAACTAAATTTTCCTTAAAATACGCTGAAAATATTAAAATCATACTAAGGTTTGAAAGCAAAGCACTAAAAAAGCAAGTAAGTGCTTAAGTCGGTTATCTGTGCGTAGTATGTATGCTTTATGAAAGTGTTTCATTATGTGAACATGCCTCTTTCTGGATTCCTGCTGCATATGTTGAAGATGGAAAGTGCTTGTTTAGATATTCAGAATACCATTTTTGTCTTCGTTACTCATTGTTCAGCACCATTTTACTGTATGTCACTCAAACCCTCTTTTCGATACAGATGTATTAATTTGTGAGTGGGCTCTTTTTACAGCATTAATCAACATGGCATCAGAGTGATTCAAAACCACTTAATTTTATCTCCATCACATTGATTTGGGTGATGAGGTACTCTTATTGCCATTTTACAGCTAGAGAATGAAGAAGTGAATTGCTGTAAAAAGCTGTATGGTCATTTCTAAGGTCAATTTTGTAATGCCTAATTATTTACCTGTAAAAGGTTTTGTTTTGAGGTTGTTTTAGTTTTATTTTTTTTTTTGTTAATTCCTGTTTTTAGCTGGACTGAATATAATCAGAATATGGAATTATGAGCCTTGATTTCTGTTGAGAGTCTGCAGATAGCACTTCAGAGACCCCTTTTTCTGGTTCTAGGGAAGATGGTGAACATTCAGTCTCTGGCTGTGTGTGGGGGTAGTAGTTCAAGCTGCTTGCAAAGTTTCACAGAAACTGTAGGAAGTGTTAGGAAAAGAATCAATTTTCCAGGGTGGTATTAAACTACTTCAATAGCAAGTAGTTATCCTTTTTTCTTTTCTTTCTTTCTTTTTCTTTTTAGCCTCACTTTTCAGTCAGGACAAATGAGCCAAGGGCTAGATATTAAATAAATACCTTTATTAACTCGTCAACCCTGACTCCTTCATGAAGTGCTCCTTTCTAGGGTGCAAGCTACCTGTTGTCTTTCCAAGGAAGAATTAGAATGTGCTTTTGCAGAAACTTCAGAACCATAATGCATGGTATTTGAACTCTAGCAAGACAAGCGCAACTGAGGTTTGAAGCTGTGGTCATTTTAAGTCAAGGGAGGGATTTTATGCTTTTAATTTAACTTGAATACTAATAATCAAAAGGACTTGCTAGAGAGTCAGTGATTTGCAATTTACATCCTGATGCTGGACTGAAAGCCTAGAGAAACCATTGCAGACATACTCTGCAGGAGGACAAATACATGGTTGATCCCATTATCTGTCAGTCTGTAGCAAGATTCTCTTGTCATACTTGAATTGAGATTTTGTTCTGCTTAGAAGTAGCTCTGTATTTTAAAGGGAAAAGGTGCCTGATGAAGGAGAACCTGAAATTTGGTATTGAAATGGAGGTGGGGTGTTCAGATTGTTAGCAATAGAGTTTCTAAATATGATGAGAGTTATTGTGTGTCAACAGAATAATGTCTTCTTATTTAATGTGCTAAACTGGAGAACCTTAATTCATGCTACTTTTAGAGACTTGTACTGTATTTTTCTAAGAGCAGAAGGATTTCTCTAACAGGGTTCATAGTAAACTCAGGTTTTTGCTCTCTGCAGGAGGAAATTGAAGACCTCCGAGCAAGACTGGCCATGTTGGAAGCAAAAGATCAACAGCTAAGAAGAGAAATTGAAGAACAAGATAGGCTTATTCAGTCACAGGACTGTGAACTGACTGCTTTACTTGGCTGTGTTTCTTTGCGAGAACTACAGGAAATAAGCAAGGCTGTGGGTGACACTTTAGCATTGTCCTATCAAATTCCATGCAGTCTGGATCTTCCGGGGACAATAAAGAGGTATTAAAATTTCAACATGTTGTCAGTGATGTAGAGGCTTGGATCTTCCCAAAATAATGTTGAATTTGCTGGCAGTTGTTTTCTTCATAATTGTGCCAGCGAACTACCTGAATTCAGACACTTTAAAATTTTCTAAGAAGAGATGTTGAAGTTCTAATATTAATATACTTTCTCAGGAAGAAAGACTGTAGTTATTTGAAGGTCTTGCACTTAATTTTTTATGGCAAAGAGCCACTTAACAGAAAGCAGTATGTATCCATTAACTGCTAATACCTATCATCAGTTTAAACTATTTCTTGTTAACTGGTGGATTTCCCTGCCAGCCCCCACCCTCAGCTTGGTAATTGCAGTAATTACAACATGTTTCTCATAGCCTGGAAGTCAGTACTAGGCATCATCTGAATAAACATTGGAGATGCTGCTTGCTTCAGTGAACTTCCAATCATAATAAATTCTGAGTGTTAGGCTCAGACAGTGGGATTCAGGTAGCAGGGGAAGGATGCAACATGAAGGCTTTTCAAGTCCCTACCCTTAAATGCACAGTGTATGGATCCTTTAAATGGAAAACTAGCTACTCTTGGTAACCTATTGGAAATAACCTCATCTTTATTTATAAAAGCAGCACAAGTGCTCAGAGCCTAAAATGTACTGGCAGGTAATGGGATGTTGGTGATGGAACTTTGAAAGTGTTGTGTCACAAGGACAAAATAAAATCTCTGTTTATCCTAACTTGCATTTCTTCCAGATAAGCAATAACTATATTTCTTGCCTTTTTTTTTCCCCTGCCTTCATGTTTGTTGGATTTAGCTTGGTTATATTAACATTCATAAGAAATTGCTGCTCATGTGTGCTAATTTATACAGATATTTTTATTTAAAGTCAGCAGAATGTTTTGTAAAGGACATATTCATCTCTTTTCAGGTTTGGTTAAAATTTTATATTAGGATATGGGAAATATTTTATTGAATTTAGTTTTGTTTAATAGTATCTTATACCTGTGTTTCCAAGATTGAGGAATAAAAGGTCTCAAGCAGTCTGTCAGAACACAGGCTTTGATTTTTCTCTCAGTTTGATATTTATTTATGAAAGAATATTTAGATCCCCCCCCCCCCCCGCACACACACATTGCTGATGCAACATTTAAGTTGCCCTTAACTCTTTGGGAAATGATTTAAAGATGAGTTAAATTAGTACTGGTTTGGGGGGAACTTGCTCAGAATTCTTTGCTTGCTAGCACCATGAATAACACAATCGCTAGAGGGAAAACAGGCACTGTTGAAAGTGGGTTCAAAGCTTAAATGAAAACTTAGAATTAGTTTGTTTCCTTTCTGTTAGTTTTTAAAAGATGCACTGAATGAAACCTTTCTGGTTTAGTTTTGTTTGTTGATCAGCTCTGTGTCAGCTGGGACAATGATCAAGTGCTTCTGCTCTCTTTACCATACCTGGAATTCTGCTATAGGAAGTAGAGACAGATGAATGTTGGGTTGGGTTGTGCAAGTAAGCTCACTCCGGCAGTCATCTGTGACAACCTTTGGGAACAGTTTAAATCTCCCATATTGGCTTATAGCTAGGTGCTCTTGTCAAACCCTAAAGCCTTTTCTGACCAGAACTAATAGCAGTAGTGTAGATGTCCACCTGTGGCATGGTGACTTGGAAGCTAGAGTCATTGGTTCAGAACATGGAAGCTCTGCATTCAGGTCCTCTGCAGCCTGACTGGATCAGAACCTACCATCTCAGAGTAAGCTCTTAACTGCCAAGGATTTCAGTGTTCTGGCAGGAAGCATGTTCCATCACAGTTCTTAAGTTGGGTCTTAATGTATCTAGTAATGCAAAAGCAGAAATCTGGCAAAAGGCTAGAAGGCAATAGGAGCCCTGACTCTGGGAGAGTGAAAGTGGGGAGGATTGATGATTATAGCACTCAGCTGAGATGAGAGACTGATATGGTGGTCATATCTGTCGTATCTATTGAGGGATTTGGCAACTGTCCCTCAAGAGTGATTTTTTTTTTTTTCCTTCTTCTTTACATCTTCAAAGTGAGCTGATAGGAATGTGTCCACAACATGGCTGATGCAGTCTTTCAATGAAGCAATGTACCACTCACTGTCTATTCAGAAGCTTTCCTGTCTGCAGAAGATGGTGGCTTGCTCTGAATTAAAAATATCTTGTAGGTGTTTTCCCTACATGATGTGGCTACTTTGTCTTGTACATCCCACTCAAAGTCTTCTCAGGTATTGTGTATGCTGTAGCTGCTGCTCTGTTGAAAAGTGCACAAGCTGTCTTGGAAGCACAGACAGACATCTCCACTCCAGCTGTGTGACTCAGCCACTTGACTTTATCCTACAGCCCCTTGCTTGCCTTTGGTTCTAAAATCTCTTCCCTCAGTCATAGAATCCTTGAATGGTTTGGGTTGGAAAAGACCTTAAGAACATCAAGTTTGAGCCCCCTTGTCATGGGTAGGGATGCCTCCCCCTAGACCATGTTGCCCAAGGCCATGTCCAGCCATGCCATGAACACTGCCAGAAATGGAGCATTCACAGCCTCCTTGGGCAACCTGTTTCAGTGCCTCACCACCCTCACAGTAAAGACGTTCCTTACATCCAACCTGAACTTTCCCTGTTCAAGTTTAAACTCATTACCCGTTGTCTTATTGCTACAGTCCGCGATGAAGAGTCCCTCTCCGGCACCTTTGTATGCCCCCTTCAGACACTGGAAGGCTGCTATGAAGTCTCTGCGCAGCCTTCTCTTCTCCAGGCTGAACAGCCCCAACTTTCTCAGCCGATCTTCATATGGGGAGGTGCTCCAGTCCCCTGATCATCCTCATGGCCCTCCTCTGGACTTGTTCCAACAGTTCCATGTCCTTTTTATGCTGAGGACACCAGAACTGCACACAATACTCCAAGGGGGGTCTCATGAGAGCAGAGTAGAGGGGCAGGATCACCTCCTTCGACCTGCTGGTCACACTCCTTTTGATGCAGCCCAGGATATGGTTGGCTTTCTGGATGTTCTTTCCTTTAAAGCTGTGCAGTCCATCATACCTCAGGTACAGTGATTTTTATGTTTGCATCCAGGCATGTTGTGTTCTCTCTTTCTGTAAGAGAAAAAGCAGTAGCAGATAGTAAGACATATGGTGTGGATATACTTCCTGTATGCCTATGGGCATCCCCTACATTGTCATACAATTATAGAATGATTCAGGAGGTCATCTTGTCAAACTCTGGCTCAGTTTCCAAGTGAGATCAGGTTGCTCAGGGCCCTGCCAGTCTTAAGTTTTGCTTGTCTCCAAGGATTTTTTTGGTCCATATCTAGTTGGAATTGTATTTGCTATCCTAAATCAGTGCGTCTTGTGAACGGCAATTGTGTATTAGGTAGCAGGTTAAGATGCTTGATGAAGTAAGTTGAGCATATTAATTTTAAATTAAAAAATCTTGGGATATTTAATATGGAATAGATTTTTCTGGAAATGTACTTTCTTATTTTATGAATAATAATGTCTTTTAAAGTTTGGGCTACCTGTGTGAGAAATAAAGCTATTACTCATGCACATTTATTAAAGATCAGTGCTTATGCAGAAAGCCGTTCAGTATCAATATGCTCTAAATTACAGTCTCTTGGCTATCAGGTTGCAAGGTACTATGTATTCTAACTGCATTGTCCTAAGTACTGCTATAATGTGCTTTGGCATAATTATTTGTTAGGTACATGAATTGCATTCAGTACTGGAATAACACAGGGCTATTCTGAAGCATCAAGACAATCTGTGTTAAAATTAATTGTATTGAGTGGCTTGTTGCTCACTATAAAATAACGAATTATTTTGTTTTTCTTGGTCTAAATGCTACTAAATAATAACTTATTAAAGTAAACTTCAGGAAATGTTGAGAGAGTATCTTAAATGCAGAATAATTGCCCAGATAGAAGTGTGCAGAAGCAAGAGCGCAAGTCAGTGTAATATTGGGCTAAGGGTTGTTTCTAAGCTTAGTTTTCTTGTCAGACATTATTTTCAAGAAGATTCTTTATTTTGTCTTGTTTATCTTCTGTTTGTGGTGGACTTTTGAAAATAAAAAGCTTTTGTCAGTACCAATAGTATGTTTTGAGTCTCAAGAATTGAGAAATGTTACCCTAGGCTCGCTTTTGTGGGCTTTTGGAAGCTGAGGTTAAAACCTGGCTGGTTAATGTGCAAGCAAATGTGTTAGCTTGTGTTTTGACAGGGATTCTCATCAAGGTTGAGACCACAGAATGTGTAGTTTTGCTCATCCAGACAGGCCTAATTGCCCTTGGTAAACTAAAGGGTGTAATCATTATTATAAAAGGAGGAAATTGCAATGCAAAAGCTGAGTTCATTTTGTGTGGGGTTGTGTGGGGATGTGTTTAAAAGGTGGGAACAGCTGGTGTTGTGTGCACTGTGACATATGTTAGTGTTTTAACTAAAAATGATGTACTGAAATCAGAGGAAAATAGGACCGAGTGTTTCAGTGGAAAGTACTTTCTCCTGTATATTGCAAAATGTAAAAAAATGTGTGATTTCCATACTCTACTGAAGAGGATGCCATTTCAGAAATATGTTTTTAACTGGTGTAACTTGAATCTTCTCTCGATAAGACCGTTTTAATTATTTGACATGCTCTCTTCAGTACTTGTTGTTTCCTTTCTTTTTTTTTCACAATGAAAACTGGGATGTCTCTTATGTTCGTACTTGGTTTAGTTTGGCATTGTGTTTTTTTCCATATCTACAGATATATGCAACTGTACAGCATATCGTCCTTAAAATAAATTGCACAGTTCCATCTGGACTATTGTTTGGGCACTGAATGCTGGTTGAAAGAAAGAAATTCAATTAAATATCTTTCAAAATATCTTAATACTCCACCTCTTCTTCCACCCCTCCCATGGACCAATTTTTAATTAGTAGGAATTTGTGGGATCTTCTGAAGATAGGGAAATTCTCTATGTGTTAGTTATTATAGTGCTGTCATGGCGAGTGGTGCACGAACTGAAGTTTT